CATGTTTTCAATATGCGCGTGCACAAGCGCGCGCTAATGACGCCATAAATTATGCGCAGTAAGGATGTGCAATGCAAATGTGAGGAATGACCTTAAGCATAACGTTAACGGCAAACGGCAAAAATGAAACTTTTGCCGTCTGTCTTCACCTGTCTGTACAGTAGAGTGAAAATATTTGTATTTGCGCTGAATAGTAGGAGACATTTTTCTATTTTTGTGTGATTTATTTATTACCATGACCAGTTGAGTAAGGCGCGACGAAAGTTTGGTCACCAGGTTTTAACGTGAAAATCAGTGGGCTGATTTAGTAAGAGAACGGGAACGTTACTTGACGACGGCGCGCGCAATACAAATACCCAAATATGGTCAAATTAGAACAGAATCCAGGTTATTCCGGGCACCCTGCAGTCGTCATCTGACCATATTTGGGTATTTGAACTGCGCGCGCCGTCGTCAAGTGACGTTCCCGTTCTCTTGCTAAATCAGCCTCACAAGCAACTGGTTCCGTTTCCAGTGGCAACTTGTCGGTCTTTGACGTCATTGGGAGCAAAGCGCGCGATGTTGTAGGCGACGCGACAGGCGACGCACAGCTTTAATTGTTACTCACGTGGAAACGAGGTAAGTTGCCCGTGACAACACCATAATTTTTAAGGCTAAAACTTTGTCACCAAACTTCCGTCGTGCCTTACTCAACTGATAATCGTAATAAGGATTAAAAGAAAAGAATAAAAAAAATCAGAGGTTATCTTTGCCGTTTGCCGTCTGCCGTAAACGTCATCCTTAAACTCTAGATTATTTATGGTTAAAAAAACGCCTCTCGGCCTGCGTTCTCACGAGAGATGTTTACCTTGGTTTTGTTTTAACTTAACTGAAGTGAAATTTTTAATCGTGTAAACACAGCAGTAAACACTGGTAAACGCCGGCAAATACAAAAGTAAACCAAATGACTATATTCTTCATGGTAAGACATTAGCAACGGCTGACTCAGCCAAATACCTCGGAGTTACTATAGCATCAGACCTGAGATGGAACAAACACATCGACACCATCTGAAGTAAAGCTAATAGAACTCTTGGATTCCTGAAAAGGAATCTAAAGATTAACTCTACTGCACTCAAGTCCACTGCCTATAAAACATTGATCCGATCTACCCTCGAGTATGCCTGCACCGTTTGGGATCCTTACACACAGGGAAACATCTATAAGCTCGAGATGGTGCAGCGTCGGGCAGCGAGATTTGTTCTT